GGGGAAAACAGGAAGCTAATTCTACCCTGAAGTGCACAGGCACTGAATGAAGACCACAACTGAGGGAAGAAGCAGTAAGTTTTACTAAGACCTATTGAACTAAAATTAAGAACTAATGAGAAATTTCACCTTTTTTCCCCCAGGAAAGAGAAAAAGTGATGATCTTCTGACAAGTTTTCAATAAGAACAGTTCTGTGATAGTCATAGAACTGTGAAGCATGTTAAATTTTGACAGGTTTTGGTGATATAAAATTAGGACTGAAGAAATAAAATATTAGGAAGGGACTCAATATTGAGTATTTGCTTTTGGGTTTGGCAAATCTGTCAGTGAAATAAAATCTAAAGCAAACATAATCTGATGTAATTCTTAAGAGTACCAACTTATTAAACCATAAAATTCTAAATATGAAAGTTCTTAATATTTTAAAGTATTTTTTCTTTTTCTTTTTCCTTCTGACTTACTTCACTGAGCATAACCCCTTCTAGCTCCATCCGCATTGCTGCAAGTGGCAGGAGCTGGATGGCTTCACTTATAGGAGGAATATAGGGGAAACAAGTAAGGGATATGTGAAAAAAATAATAAATAAAAAACTGAAACTAGCAGGCAACTATAAATCCAAGACATTCTACAGGGAAAGGGGAGGGGGAGGAATCAAAACAGGGCTCTGGAAAAGCACAAAGGACTATGGTGATGGTGCATAGGTAAATCGGTGGTGGAAATTTTATGGGGACTACACTTGAAAGGAGAAATCAAACATTGTACAAAAATGAACTATGATGCTATACACACACATTTTTAATTTATTATTAAAATATTTCTAAAAATCTGTAAATTTGATCCTATACTTTCTTAATGGCAGCCTTAGTATCCCATAATAGCAATATCCTAAATTGTGAGGATACTTTCACATGCATTATCTTATTTGATCTTCACAAGTCTAGACAGTATTCACCTTTAGTCAAGGTAATGAATTTAGAAAATTTGAATTGCTTTCAAATTTGATAATCACAAATTTTCTTTTCCCCTACCATTTGTAATAAGGAATTAGTGAAAACTCACAAGAGAAATGAAAAAAAAAATCCCATCATATATTGGTATAAAAATTTGTTTCTCCCTATGGTTTCAGTTTTTACTTTGTCCTCAGCCTAGTCATAAAAAACTGTGTTGTGCCTACAGCTGAGGTTCATCTAAGAATAACCTCTGTACTTACAAACTAACTTAAAGGACTTTGTAACTTACTTTTTCTTTGGGTTTGATAAAATTCTAAGCTGGTCGCAGCAATAGAATTAAACACATTCAAAGTTCTGAAGTTCAATCAAATAATTCAGCAAATTGTACTGAGTACCTTCTCTATGCAAATATTTTGATATGTGTTTAAAATTTACATCACACAGGCAAAATAAATGTTCAGGGAATAGGGATAGGTTTTTAGTGATTGCAAGCTCAGGATGTGCAAGAAGAGTGATATCACTGTCAGAGAAACAAATGAGTTCCTAGGCTGTTTTGCAAGATGTCTGGCATATAGAACAAAGATGGTAACAGACCACTGTATTTTCCTTTATATTATCATATTACCACATTGAACATGTTCACTTCTGGCCTCTTAGAAAAATTATAGGAATCCTGAGGAGAATGTCCAGAGTGAGACTGACTCAAAAAAATGTGGCGCCAGCAATGCCTGAAAGATTTAAGAATTAAGAGTATGGAGTCTGTGAACTGACTATATATAGACAGAAGGAAGGTTCATCTGAATATATACAGACAGAAGGAATTCAATTCATCATTGAATTCCAACAGAGGGAAAAATTAAGGCCTTTGTATTGACCTTATTGGTTCAGAATACAATTTTGGATTACTTCATGAGGATTTTATTTTACTATTTATTTAAAGATAACTTATTAGATAAGGGATTGAATTAGGGAATATTCTTTCCAAATTTGAATATCATTCTTCATGTTTATTTATAACTTAATGATATTAGATTTGTGGATGACTAAAAAATAAAACTTCATGGAAATAAAAAAGATTTTTGTCAAAGGAAATAATATTTATAGAAAAGGTACCATTTGAGTTGGAGTTTGAATGATTGGCAGGATTTTGACTGTTATAGTGGGCACCTCAAGCTAACAAATGATATAAGTATATATGGATTATGATTACTCATATTACAGCTTAGATATGGATTTTCTGATTTGGTCACCTTCATGAAATTTCATTCATTAATAAAAAGGGGAGGTGGAATCTTGTTTGTTTGTTTTAATCTAACCAAGCAATCTAGGTTCACCAGTATTTAATCAGTTCTTTTAGGTAAAGTTTGTTGTTTTTAATCTAACCAAGCAATCTAGGTTCACCAGAATTTAATCAGTTCTTTTAGGTAAAGTTCAGTTTCTTTTGATAAGACCCTCAGTCTTTCAGATTCCACCTTTTGCCCTTTATCTATTTTAGAGGATATTTGAAACTATTAGTAGAAAAGTCTTTTATTACCTTGAGGCAATGAGACAAAGGGTTATTGTATTTGAATAGTGTTCTCTACCTTCTTTGGTATCTGGTGATATCCTTTGGATGTGTAGTTGGTTCTATTCTTTCATTTGAAGTTGATGGCTAGAAAAACTCAAGATCTTTGCTTTCTCAGTATGATCAGGGCCTAGTAGCCATCTCTACCAAAAGATCTCATCTTTTTGACACTTTGAACATCCCTGGTTCAGAAGGTACATTCTGCAGTCTTTATTATTAGAGTATAATCGTGCTCTTTTAACATCAAGTCTCATAGGAGGTCAAGTAGCTCTCAAACTCAGGTAATGAAGTACACAGGAATTATCAACAGTGCTAGAAAGTAAAATCCTGTTCTCCCCCCACCTAACTAGGTTACCGGAATTGGTCCCCCTCTGCCTGCCAGGAAAAATCTGGGAATTGAGGCATAAGTTTCTTTGTTCTTGAGTTTTCCCATACCTATCTGGATAGCTCTAAAATCAAAACCTCTTACCCTACTTTCTCAAAGTGAGTGAGTAAAAATATCGTTGGTTCCCTTTTTTAAGCACTTCTACCCCTTTCCCATAGTTCTCTGCTAAACAGGAAAGACTATTCTACTTTATCTTCCTCATAGCCACCATCTTCCTCATACCAGCCTTTGACATAAGTATTGGTGGTGGACTGGAAAATACTGACTTTACAATGTGAGAAACTCTATCATTTGGGTCATTAGGCCTATTTTTGATATTACAAACAATAAATAAGTTTTATATTTTATCCATCAACAGTAACTTGATTTGCCTAACAACTTTCAAAAAACAGTGTATATTAAATGTCAAAAGTTGAATATTAACTTTTTATTTTGTATATTCTATATAATAATCTAGATCTTCAGTAGAAAGGTGCCTTGGATTGAATAGGTCTAATATCTAGAAAGTTCCATTAATATTTCTTAAAATATTGCTCCCTTTTCCAATTACACATATATACTGGTCTATAAATCTGCTTTTGTTAATTTCCTATTTAAAGTCTTTTTAGAAATAAAATAAAATAAAATCTTTTCAGAAACTTCCCTGACTAACCAGACTAAATTAGGAGCCCTGTGTGCACTTCCACAAGCTCTCACACTTATTCTTTCATAATACTCATCATTCTTTTACTTCTTTAATGTCTACAATTCCTAACAGATTTGAACTCAAAATATCCCACATCTAGGATATTTTCCTGAAAGTAACAGATGCTTAACAAATATTCACATGAGTTATAGTTTTATCTATATGCATGAGTTATATTCCTCACTTATAAAGCAATAAATTGGTAATCTAACTTACAGGTCCTTTGAAATTTGTCAATGTGTTGTGACTCTGAAAGATGAACTCACTGTGGTTAGAATGACGACATCAAGTTCTAGTCCTCCAGAGCTAGGGTTTGGAACTCAGGAAATTCACCAATAAGTGCCACCTTGTCGTATTTCTTGACAAGTAATAATTTATCCTCTCTTCAGGGAATTCTACATTGACACAAGAATTCTTTCAAACTACAGGAAGATCCTTCATTAATACCTACGTTCATAATGAGGGGGTTCTACTTTAAGATACCTAATAATCTTCCACAGATTTTTATCAACTTGCAATTGTGTCAAGTTTTCTCACAGGGTAATTTCACCGTTAGCTAGCCCTTCTGTTTTATGTGGCTTCAATTAACCAGATTCAGTCAGTTATGGCTACAAGATTGTGACTACAATTTACATAGCAATCCATATGTAAATTGTTACTCTATTGGGTTAACATTTGTGTTTGCAACTGGAAAATCAATGAAAAGGAACTTAATTTCAAACAAGCGTACACATTAAAAAAAAAATAAGAGGGGAGGGCACTATTTTTGATTCTGAGATAGCAACCACACTAAATCTATTCCAAAAATGCAAAGAGAGAATAGGGGTCATTAAATAGACTATGACCTCTGCCTATTTTATTGTAAAAACGTGTACCTCCACTCATGCATTGCAGAATTTTAAGGCCATTAAAAGCAAAGGCACGTAAATTTAGGGTAACTTGAGAAAGCACAGGTCAACCTCCACCATCCACTACAGAAGCAGTCCCTTCCACAGCCACGAGGGCAGGCGCTGTTCGTCCCACCCTTGGGTGGCATCCAGAACAATGCCTGGCAGAGTAAACACCTAACATGTATTTGCTGAATGAATGAAAGAAGCCCGACTGCAAAGGTTGAGCGGTAAGTGGTTTGTCAGCAGGAGGCACAGCCGAGGCTGGCTGGCATTTCTTCAGCCCCTCACCTTCCTGGCAGTTCTGAATTCCACCGGTTGCCCATCTTTCGGAAGGGCTCGGATCCTGTCCCTAAATCCCGCCACTCCTCACTTCATCTGCTCATTTTTCACACAGGCTCGGCCGTTTCTGAGGAACGTCCAGCCGGCCAAGCAGGGGGCAGGCGGCGAGCAGTCTGACACCTTTCGGGGGCTCCAACACCCCCACACAAAGGGTCTGGACCTTCTTTTCACAATCTTGTTACCTACCTACCCGTGCCGAAGCTAAAGTGCCAACCTGGGCTCCGTCAGACACAGCGAGGAGGGAGGAAAAGGACGCCAAATCTCACCAGGAGAGAGGGCCGCCCCAGAGCTCGGCGCACTCGGCTCACGCGCGCTCGGGCCCGACGCCTCGCGCGCGGGGTTGCGAGGGCCGTGGCGCGAGGGCAGCCGGGGGCGCGCGCGCGCGGGAGGGGGCGGGGGGCGGGAGGGAGCGGGGGAGGGTGGGGAGGAGGAGCGCCGCGCGCCAGCAGGTGGGCGCGTCCTCCCGCGCGCGTGCGCGCGCCGCGCCGTCTCGCTCACGTTCGCCGCGCGCCGCGTCCCCTGCCCGCCGAGCGCGCGCGGGTACCTCTCGGTGTCTCGGCGCCGCACACTCACCGGAGCTCTCGCCACGGCCGTCGCCTGGGCCGCGGCTCGCCAGCCCCGCGGCTCAGCCTCCGTCCCTCGGCGCTGCGTCCCAGCCCTTCTCCCTCTCCCTTTCCTTTCCGCCCTTCCCTCCCTGCGGCTGTGCGGAGAGAGTCTGGCTACGAAGCAGGCGGGCTTGAGACGGGGCTTGGAAAATGGAGGTGCCGCGCCTGGATCATGCCCTCAACAGCCCCACCAGCCCCTGTGAAGAGGTGATCAAAAACCTCAGCCTGGAGGCCATTCAGCTGTGCGACCGGGACGGTAAGTGCGTCCGGAAGCGGGAGGAGAGGGGCCGAGCCCGGCCCCGGCGCCGCGGCCGCCCCGGCTCAGCGCGCGCCACCCGCCCCGGCGGCGGGGTCTTTTGTTTTTCCCCCCTCCTTTCCTTAAGCCCCCCTCTTTGGGGGCCCCCCGACGGCCATCCCTCAGACGCGAAAAGCAGAGGAGCCCCCGAGGCTCAGGCTTTGGCGCGGAAATTCGCCATCGACCGCGGCCCCGGGGCCGCTCGCTTTCCTCGCCCGCTCGGACCAGCAGAGGAGCTGCCCCGGTGAGGACGCCGTTCCCGCCCGCCGGTCCTGCCCGGGCAGCGGCGCTTCCTGGCTTTGCCGCAGTCCGGGTTTCCTGGGGTCTTGGGGCCACTGGAGGGGAAATCCCCTCTGGATGTTTCTAGCACAATCCACAACCCCCCCACCCCACCCCATCACTAACCCCTTCCTCACGCACACACTAGTTAGCATTCTTTCCCAGAAACTTATCAGTTTCTTATCTCCAACCTTCAGACCCTCCCCCCCCCAATATTTATAAGTCTTTTTATCCTTATAGAATGGGATCACAATGTCAGTTTTTTCCAGTAAAGGGGAGGGCGAAGAGGGGGAGTGCGTTTCAGCACCAAGGACAGCCGCAAGCTTCATGGGTTGGGGCTGTGATTCATAACTGTCAAAAATCTGTAAAGGAATTGGCCTAATATATCGCCTGTGATTCAGAATATACGGCGAATACTCACCATTGTGTCTTGCTATTATGTAGCTTAGTCTATTGTTAAAGTTGGCAGTCTCCTAAAGGAAAACAAAATGAACACAGGGCGGAGGGTTAGAGATAAGCTAACCATGTGTGCAATGTGGGTAGTTATAGTGGTTCTGTGTTAGTTGCAGTAGTTGGAGAATCCATGCTATTTCAGTAATGTGGAATAGAACTTCATTTGTAAAGAAGTCATTTGATTAGTAACTGGCCAACTGATTGTAAAAAAATGTACATATGGAGTAAAAAAAATTACATGTTTAGATGACCCTGAACATTTTGGGGTGTTAATGTTTAACTATATAGAGACTATGATTTAGACAGATTTTTAGGCAAGGTTATGTAGAGATGATAATACGTTCTCAGTAAGGTCATAAAATTTAACAGTATGCAATCCAAAGAAATACAGAACAGAGGTCTTTCTAAAGTCATCTAAATGGTGATAAGTTGGTTAGGTGTTGCCACACAGTTTAGTTTAGGTTAATTGAGCAATGAAATTCTGTTTTTAGTAGGTTCAGGATGCAGAATAATTGCTCTTTGAAGCCAAAGCCACTTTAAATTATTCCAGAAACAGGTGTAGTAGGGATGAACACTTTTGAAAAGGCTGCTTGTATTTCCTTTGTCCTTAGATATTTTGGTCATTCAAATAATAGATGTACATTATTTGTGGGATCTTCAAAAATTAGCATTTTGGTATTCCATATAAGCTTCCACTATTAGATTATAAAGATTATTTTTACTATACCAGATAGAAAATTATGTGGGTTTTAGTTTATGCCTGCATGAAATGACTTTGTAATGTTACCATTGTAAATATTTCTATTTTCTTAGCTTGATTTTACAAAAAAGAGTCTAATGAAAGTAGATCATTTTCATTTCTTTCAGTGATTTATCAGGATAATTACTATAGTTAATGAAAATAGGCAATGTATTGTTGCTCCTAAGAATCCAGTAATCTTAATACTTAAAATTACAATTACCACATGTTTCAAAGAAGCCAGGGAAAATAAAGTTGCTTTTTATTTTTTGTGAAGTTCACAAAGTTAATAGTGTAGAGCACAAAAATCAATGCTATATTTACTGTGGTCTCTTCTCCTGGACTGATAGCTAATTTATTCTGGTAATAATTTTTAGTTATTCATTTTATGAATCCTGCAAATTATGCAACATTTAATTGGGGGTGGGTGGGTGCTAACATTATGCAGTATATGAAAATTACTTTTCAATCTTTGAATTGATTCGGTATTGACTAAATAGGGTTCCATTTTATAAAATAGCATGTACTGGCAAATACAAAGAGATAACTGTATTTAAAGATATGTAAAAAAAGTTAGCATTATAGGGATAATTTAGGGGGGAATAAGATAGTTTTTTAGAACAATTTAAAAATGTTGCATTAAATTTTTTTCCAGACCTTTTGTCACAATTTTATACAGAGAAATTTTCAGCTAGATGCTGTTTTACTCCCTTCCCTTCCTTCCTTTCACTTTTCTTCCTCTCAGTTCACATCATTTTATTTCTGTAAATATATAGAAAGATGAGGATGTGGCAGAAGGTCTATTATGTGCACATAATAAGTGCTATATTTTAATACTTTTATGGCCATGTAAATGCATTTTTCTTATTTGCTTATTACTTTTTTTTCACTTTTTTTTTACTAATAATCTGGTAATGGGGAAGAATGAAATCATATATTACTTGGAAATGAAATAAAGGTAAGAGAAAGTATAATGTGACTGTTCAGTATGCATTTTCATTTACCCTCTCCAACATAAATGTTTTTAATTTTATAATGTTTTACATATTTCATAATTAAGAGTTGTAGCTGCTAGTAAATATGGCTCTCCTTGGCTCTCGTATTTTTTTTTCCTCTTTATTTCTCTCATTTGTCTATTTTCTTTCTTTTAACTAAATGTCATTGATCTACCACTGATTTGCAATACTATATAAATTTTTGGAGCATAGCTTTACACCTCTATTATGTATTGATACATAAGGTCTCACCTCTGCTACCACCAAAATTATAGTGTGATTCCCACTATCAGATTGACTCTACTCCTCTCATGCTGTCCCTTCTCCCTCTAATAATCACTGAGTTTTCTTAGAGCCTTAGAGTTATTTTTGTTGTGATTTGTTAGTTTGTTTGCTTTGGTTATTATATTCCACATATGAGAGAAACCATCTGGTAATTGTCTTTCACTTTCTGAATTACTTAGCATAATCACCTCAAGTTCTATCAATATTGTTGCAAAAGACAAGATTTCATCTTTCTTAATAGCTGAATCTGTTTACTTAATTGGCAACAATTCACAATGTTTCTTTTATTCATAACTTATCAAAATATTTAATAGTCCCTGAAGATATAGAGCAGGGTGCAAGTAGTCATGTAATTACTTTTTTTTTTTAATTGAGCAAGATGGTTCCTATAAGCACATATTATCTCATGTATATTTTTATCCTAGGCATGTGTGCTTTGATTGCTAATACATGGTTCCTGCATAGAAATTACCTGTGGTTTGAAATGAGAATTCTGAATAGACTTCTGTTAGGGAACCTTCTGAAGATATGCCGAGGGTCTTGCAGTTTCTGAAATTGTTGTTGCCAGTATATTTCTGTTCCTCCGTCTCTTCTCTGCTGAAGAATACTCAAGTTGTGTTTATGATGTACTTTAATTTTGGCCTTTCCCAGCATTGAAGGAAAAAAACTAATTTGTCATCTTGAAACATCAGTAATATCAGAACCTGTGCTCAGTGTGTTTCTTCAGGTAGGTACTTCAAGCCTTACTGATATGTGAGAAGAAAAAACAGCTCCCTATTCTACCTATGATATAGTTATTCTACAATACTTCAACTTCTCTTCATCTTTTGTATTGTAACTATATAATGAAGCTCTGTTATTGAAAATAATAGATTTATCTAAATGTTGATTTACATGCTTCCCTGTACTCTTGTTGTAATGGTAAGGAAGAAAATATGAATTTAATTTGTTGTATAGCCTTTAAATCCACCCCCAAAGCTTCTTGGCTTTAACAAGTTTATTTCCATGGCCAGGCTAGTTTATGGCTGCCTAGATAAATAAAACTTATGGAGGTTATGATATTAGTCAACAAGGGCACACATTTTAAAGAAATTGCACAGACAGAAGTGGACAGATTTCCCTGTCTTAATTCCTAATAATAGTTGTTTTTTGGGTTTTTTTGGTGGGAAAAGAAAAAAAAAACTTTCCTTTTTTTCCTTGTTTAAAAAGATAAATTCCTTTGAATTTGGACATTATCATATCTATTTAACTTATAAATCAGTTGGGACCTTCTTCCTTATGCTTATTGAACTGTGCATTCAACAAATTATAACTTTGGGAACAAAATAACACAGAAATGCTTGGTGACACATTGCTGTAGTAGATAATCCTTAATGACATTTTCTGAAACAGACGTCTAGGAGACATATCAATAACTTTCCTTTAATAATCCAAGAATGATGGGTAGTCATTACTCAGTCTCATAGAGCAGCAGACCTCTGCTAAAACATTAACATCTTGTAGATAATATAATGTTAAGCAAATTACATAGCCTTTTAATTTTTTTTCAGTAATGTTTAGATCTTTGTTTTTTTTTTTATATCAGTTGAGTTTTGTTTATTTTGTAAGATCCTTCTACTTCATGAATATTCAGTGGAAACTAAGTTCTGAATTTTAAAAGAATAGTAAACTTTAGAATCACAATTACAATATTTTTATTCTTTGCTTTTATTTTACCATCCCTTCAGTAATATCCTAGTCAGCCTTAATCCTAAGAGCTGTTTTCAGCTTCTTTTTCAAATCTACAGTTTGCTGCTTTTCATGTGCCTTGTGACCTTGTTACTTTGAATAGGTATTTATATCAAAAACCTCTATTTTTGCTTTAACAATTTTTTTATTTATGACTTTCTCCCCTAAGGATTGATCTGTAATAGCCCATGTATGAAACGTTACAAAAAATACAAACTAGATGAAACAGATAAAAAACTTGAAAACCATCAGATTATGTTAAACCAATTTATATTCTTGGTAGGAGTTCTAATTCATTCCCTGAGAAGACCTCAAAGTTATTAGAGTAAAAGTCACATCAAAGGATATGTGCCCAGACTCCCTCCAGTGGTAGAATTACTGATGTGTCATAAGTAGTAAAACTGGCAACTTGTTTTGTTGCCTAGGTAGGCCAGTCACAAATTCACTTTATAGAACACTATGTAGACAACTTTTAAGTCTCT